CCATCCTATGGTGAGTTAGAACAAAGCTGTAATGGAACATCAAGTTCAATGCGTGACAAAAAGATAAGACATATCAGGCTTACCAAGCATTCGGTACAAGGGCCGCTTCTCTGGCCCTTTCTGACCTGTGCTTATTATAAAACCACAGGCAGGCAACAATTCACCCTTAGCACAACACAACTACAATGCTCATTCACCTGTTTGACACAGGGAGAAAACACACAGGATGCACACATTTTGCAGAGCTCCAAATGTTGAAAAGTGGCATTGAAAACGTATTATTACTGAGCAGCTACTGAGAGAGAGAGAGAGAGAGAGAGAGAGAGAGAGAGAGAGAGAGAGAGAGAGAGAGAAAGAGAGAGAAAATGGGGTGAATATCCTGTTTAAAATAAGCAATTTTTAAAGCAACATTTATCCAAATATTGCTATGGTTCCTGTCAGCTGTGGTAAAAGAATGAACTGTCAATTTTGTCTGAACATCTGAAGAAGCCAGTTTTCAAGATACAAGTATTTAAAGCTTAGTTCCAGACATGTAACAGTAGTTGTAACAATTCAGAGGGGAAAATGATAGAGAACATATTTCTCCAAGCAGATCAGATCCCTGCAAGTTGTTGGAGGATTCTGGTAGCTGCTACATTAAGCATAGGTTTTTGTTGTTGTTTTGTTTTGTTTTCCATTTTGGTTTTGTTTTACTTTTCAGTCTCAGAGCAATAAGAAAAAGTGCTATGAAGTAGTGTTCAAATAATTACAAAACCTATAGAGTAGTGTTTGAAGCAGCTAACCTGCACAGCAGCTTCCTCGGGATCATTTCTCATTGGTTATCAACACACATGAATTTGAAATAATGTGTTTTATTTATCCAAAGTATTTTCTGCTTTAAACTCATATTTTGTGGTGTAAAGGAGCTGGTGTAGGGAATAAATTAATCCAGGAATCATAAAGGAGCTGGTGTAGGGAGTAAATTAATCCAGGAATCCTTGGACATGGGGCCATTCACATCGGGAAGCAGGAAGCACGTTTTATTGTCTCCCATGTAGCCGGCCCATCCTGCCAGCTGGGAAGAAATAAGGCTCATTAGTAAGAACGTGTGAGGTCTAAGATGGACCACATGCAAGCTAACCATATAGCTACGGCACGCCAAGACCTAACACATTTTACCACAAGGTGCTATGCAAAATGCTCTGTTGTAAAAGCCCTCAAAATGTGGCCAGTACTGCAAGAGAGATAACTGTGCATTGGTGCATTTTCTTTTCCCTTCTGGCTTGTTAACACATCTTCAGCAGGAGGTACCAAAGACTTTCCTAGCAGGTCTTTAAATCAAGAAATCAATTCACCTGAAAACTATGCCTTTAAAAACAGCAGTAGTGTATGTGGTAAGGGGAAATAAGTTTCCCTTGAATGCGGGCCCATTGGCATGGCTCCCAGGTGCCCAATGCTCACGGTGTCTTGGGAACTGTACAGCTGTGACATGCCCTGAAACTCAGCCTGCAGCACACAGACAGGAATCCACAGTTAGAGACTGGAGACCAGATGATCCACTCTGTGTTTTCAACTGATAGGAACATAGAAGACAGAGGGGGAAAGAGCTCAAGAAAGTAAACTCATAGGATAGATGTACATACATTAAGAAAAGCGAAATAACTGTATAAAAGCAAATGGAGTTTCACCTCACTTCCATAATAATTGTATTGTAATATCAAAAATGAGCAAGGAGAATCATTCATTGACTGAAAAGAGACAGAAAAATGATTCCGAAAGATCGAGTTAAGATTGTCACCAGGTTGTAGGAGACAGGTCAGTATCTCACAACATAAAGAAAATTGGCAGAATTTCTGTGAGCCCATGACAATTTTGTGGATCTGTATGTAACCTAAAAATAAATAAAGCATTTTCTTTGGACACCAATTCATTTGAAAATGCAATAAAACAAAGAAAGGATTGCTTCCAAAAATTAACTGTTAAATTCTTTTTTAAGTACAGTATTAATAAACTGTGGCTTACTTCGGTATCATACTTTAGGTTGTTACATACATTAAAATAGACTTTTTAAAATACTAAGCTAAAATGCATATATATATGTAGATAATAATTACATTACCTACATATATATATAATATAAACAGAAGCTATGAAAATGACTTATTCTATATTCTAATTTATACCCATAATGAACTTATCACCAGTTACATACTGCCATCATCTAATTCCTGACTTTCATGGTTAGGAAAATGTAACTCTGTAAACATTAGCAATACCACACCCTGCACGGCATGTGGAGTAAAATGAAGACTATATTCAAGTTAAATGTCTTGAGTTAGCTTCACTCAAATCCAAATCTATTCCTACCTACACTAAGAGAAAGAACTACAATTAAAATCCCACTCACTGATGTTCTAGCATTCAATAACCGACACATAAAGTGTGACAAAGGTGAAAATCTTTTCTTATATATCACATAAAAGACCAAATGAGAAAGTCACATATATACACATATATAATATATACTCAATTAATGCATAGCTTTAATCATTTTAACAATATATACTATAATTGCCCCCATGTTTATATAACAGAGAAAATAATAGAAATTATTTTACTCAATTCACAGATTTCACAGATTTTGTGGAGCCAGAAGGATATCTCATTTTCCTGATCTGCTTCAAGAATCTTAAGATAAGATTCCTGATGCAAAGTGAAGTATGGGATCTTAGCAGGTATCTCAATGAGCAGCTCTGAATCTTACATTTCCTTGCTTTCTTGTGGTATCTCCTTATGAACAGCAGGTGATTAATTCTTAATGTTTCTGTGACTACACTGCATAGCACCAAAAATATGGCTATCTATAACCACACAAGCCTGCTCACTGTCTGAAATACTGACCTTCACGTTCCTGTCTTTTCATAACTTACACTGCAGTCATAAGGCCAAAGTCAGGCCCTGTCTTGGAATTCCACTTGTCTTCAGTTGAGATCAAATAATGCGTATTCTGGAGACGGAACACAGTGCATAAAGAATCCTGTTATGTAATTAGGCTCCTGTGAACCATCTGTTGATATAGCCAGTAGCAGTGGGAAATGAGCTTCAGCAAACACATAAGACAATTTGGGAATTGGCTTCTAGGTATATATTTTAGTGTTAGAGAAACTGCCATGCATTGTTAATGAAGCCCAGTAACTCCGTGCCAGCAGGAGTGTGAAGCATCCTGAAACTGTACAGGCGTGCAGTGACACACTCACAGCCATGCACGTGGAACTGGAACTGGTCATCTTTCCTAGAACAAACTTTTCACCTCATTAAGAAAGACAAGACTAGGACCCACAGCTGGCTCAGCAGCTGACCATCAACAACCTCTAATTGTATTCTTGTAGTCAAAGGGAAATAACCCAAAGCTTTTAGAATCAAATTATGTTTCAGCTTTGGAAGGTATCGATCTTTTAAAACCACTATTATTTGAGACTATTTACTAAAAGAAGAAATATATGAAAATAGCACAGAAGTTATCTTATGGCCCCTTTTGCTGCTTGTGTTAGAGTAACTATGTGCATTTAAACACTGGACTGTGAACACTGATTCAAGTATAGCAAGTGTCATTACATACACACCAATATCAATTTAAAATGTAAAGAAATTTCTACTCTGTATACAAATATACAGAGCAGGAGAAATGCTGCACTAGATTCTGATGGATACATTAGCCTTCTGGGTAAAAATAATGAATGTGGATTCTTTGTTTAAGGGATCCTCTTGTCACATATCCTGAGAATAAGATGAAGGACGATTCAATCTCCATCCAGTGAGACACTTACTAGCTTTCTGCCTGGTTAAAATTATATCAGAATGACATTATAAATTTAACAATGTAAAAATCACTTTGCTGGGGAGGAAGAATAAGGTATTGGAGTTAGCACAAGATACATTCAGAGAAACCTTTCAGATAAAAATAAATAAATAGATAGTAAAAACCAATCAATCTACTATTGTGGTTATAAACACAGTAACCTCAGAAATAAGCCAGAACCAAACAGGCAGCGACCAGCCAGGGAAATCCCAGCACTTATCTGCCCACTTACATCCTATGGGCTTAGACACTGTAAAAATAAGAATATGAAAGTATTTTTTTACCTCTAGCAATGCACACTAGAAAAAAATATGTATAGATACACAATATCTTTTTTGGAAAATGTAAGCGCCGATGAAATTTTGAAAACCCTGTGCTAAGAGTAAACTAAGGGAAATATTACAAATTTAGGCTGAGGTACTAGATTTGGCTAAAAAAATAGAGAGGGGGAGTGCTATATTAAAAATGCTATCAGGAATAAAACTGAATTGATGAATAGGAATTGGTCCTAATGATAAGTCATTATTCCTACTTTGGGCAATTTTGTCTACAAACTCTACTTGTCTTAGTGATTTTAAATGGTATAATTTTTTAAAATGTCTTATTTTCAAATAGATAAAAATTAAAGGATCACACTACCATGGTTATGACTGAGCATTTCAGAGTAGATGTACATAAACATGAATTGAAGTTTTGTCATTACAAATATACAATATCGTCTCCAGAGCAGCCCCTTCCTGAACACACACATTCAGGCAGTTTCCCATTCACTCAATAAGCTTGATATCATTTTTGCAACTTGAATGATAATTAAGGTAAGAAAATTACTGTGAAATCCTAGGTTGAAAATGGAAATCTTTAAAAAAAAAAAAAACACATTAGTTGCAATCTTATTTAGCAGTAACATTTCTTCCTCTATTTTATGTAAATTTGTGCCTTTAACTAACTGATCTGGATGATTTTGTCTGGAAAGATAGCTTCACAGACTATAGAGTGTATAAAAGAGATACAAAAACTGTCAACATCCATCCCCATACCAAAACAACTGTAAAATAAAAGGACAAATATTCAGATTTACTAACGTTGCACATATGTTATATGACTGTAGAAGTGAGCCTAATATGTTGGTTATTTTGTCATTTCATTCATATTTTTAAGTTCATGTATTTAGATAAGTACACCAAGAATTAAATTATTAAAGAGGTGGACACAAATTTTTTATCATAATGACCTGAGGTGAAAATCCAATAACCATAGAAATTCCTATCATCTGACATAATAAAGGATATTTACTCAACCATGATCCCTAGAATTACCTCAGGGACAAACAACAGCTCCTAGAGAGTCTTTAACGTATTGGCTACGTTGGTAGAGGCCCCTCTGCGCCATGCATAGAAGCCATTGGAATATGAGTGATGCTCAGCTTGCTTTCTAAAGGAAGAAATGCACGGCAACGGAAAGTAAGTTCCTTCCTTTCCACCTTGCCATAATCATCAGACCTGTGTTCTTTTTCTTTTCAGAAGAACAGAAAACATTTTTCACAGTACAGCCACCTACAGTAGGTAAACCACGTGTATAAAACCGTATATACAGAAAACACCTCAGTCTTCAATTTGAAGGCTCTTAGTCAGGACAAGATCTGTTAGAGGGAACAGCCGTCGAAGCTGTGGGCCACTCCCTGAGTCTTTTTCCTAAAGCCCAACAGGAAAGCATGAGACACGAAAGAGCGATGATGAACGGGAGTCACAATGTACATATTCAATTTCATGGAGTTATAGCTAAATTTCTCAGAAATTAGTTTGAATAACTAGAAGACATGAAATAACCAATTCTTTCTGTCCATTGACAAAGTGGCGTTTATCTGGATTTCCAGAAAATGAAGTATAGATCCATATTGCCTTCCTGTCCTGGCAGATTGCTAAGATTTCAATGCATTAGTTCACAATTTCTGACTATCTTCTTCTGGCACAACTTCCAGTATTATCTGTAATGTTCTGGTTATTCTGTCTACAAAGAGATAAAGAAGAGAAATTAAAATGTAGGCAAATCAGAAATGCATAAAAATAGCAAATGACGAATTCTTTGGAGTTGAACACACACACACACACACACACACACACACACACCACCTATTTCATAGAGCGCTATCAAGAATGACTCTGTGGGAACAGCATCATGCTCAAGGCATTGACTTGTCACTTCCATAGCTTCCCAGGATGGCTTCTGAGGGGGAATACATTAATATTTTGTATCTAAAATAAGAGCTTTTATTTATGAAGCAAGAGGCTGCAAACATGTTGAGAGAGTAGGATTGAGATTTAAAATATACTTCCTGTTGCATTTAAATCAGGATGTACCCTTTGCTCTTGTCAAGCCAGCGCCGCCTCCAAAAGCAGCAGCAGAACATCCTTTCTGCTTTCGAACTCACGGCATGTCCTTACGTAGATAACTCGCAGGGTGTCTAGGAACAGACACTCTTGTTTCCCAGAGCCTCGTTAGGAAAGGCTTGAACCAGTCAGCTGTGCCCACACCAGCAACACAAGCAGCACAGAGGTTCTAGAGAGGCGTTTTGTTCAAGCCCAGCAACACAAGCATCACAGAGGTTCTAGAGAGGCATTTTGTTCAAGCCCAGCAACACAAGCAGCACAGAGGTTCTAGAGAGGCGTTTTGTTCAAGCTCAGTCTTAAAGCTTACTGAATTGGGATGCGGCTGATAGAAACAAAAATGTAAGAACCTTCTGGAAATGATGGTTTCTGAGGTGATTTGCTCTCCACGGCCCAGGAACTCTACACCCCCTAGTTCTGTGGACGCTCTGGCCCGCCTCTTGTCATCAGTTCCTAAGAGAAGTCCTCGCCAGCCTCGCCAGCCTCCACAGCCCATCCTCTCGGCGGCTCGGCCTCCATGGCCTCCACACGTGGCCCCTCTGCTCAGCCCTGACTTGCTGACACGCAAGCAGGGTTGAATGACTCTAGAAAAGTCATTTTTCATCCTTTGCATCCATGTTCCCCCAACTTCTTGGCCCTAGGACATGACGCTTTTTTGTTTGTTTGTTTGTTTGTTTACATTAACTTTAAAAGACCTAGTACCGTGCTGGAAAACGACAGACTCAGCATAAATAAATTGTATGGTGCCTGCGCTCTTTACGGTGAGCAGAAGGGAACCCTAGAGAGGAATCCAACCCCACACGAGCAGAAAGGGAGGCCGTAAAATTATTCCAAAGACAGAGTCTGGTGGGGGCTGTGAAATCTGCAAGTTAGGAAGGACCAGAGGCTCCCTGTAGGCAGAGCGGGGCTAGGACTCCTAGCAGAGCTAAAAGAACTGAGGAGCAGAGGGACAGAGGGGGACTGCCATCAGCCGTGTCTCACTGCACACTATGTGGAAAAGGAACTCCACAACCTGGAGAGCTGGGTACTTGTATGGGTAAGGAGAGGAGGGGAAAACTGGGAGCAAGGGAAGAGAGACAGAAATGTGCTCATTACCTGACTTATGGAACTGTATCCCCAGTGTAAACACCTGTCCAAGAACAGCACAGTATATTTAAAAAATAAAAATAAGGGAATGAAGGAATTTGAGACATGAACATTGTGTGAGCAAGGAATCATGACGGTGTCCGGCCTTCCTCTGTGGAGAGACCCTGCCAGCCCTCCGCTCCCGAGCGCCTTCCTCTCGCTGCCTCTGCAACTCCACACCTATGCTGAAGCTCCATACAGGGTGCATCCCTGCATTCCTGCATCCCTGTGCTCTGAATTCCCAGGCATCTTTCTCCCCCATATTGGAGCACAGCAATCATTCTAGACCAATGGGAAGCCACTTGGAGTGGAGAGTGCATGTGGCTCATCACTCAAAGGGCCAGCCTCTCCCCTGAGGTGCTGGCCGGAGGTCCTCTCTCTTCCTCCCTGGTGACAGGTCTGGTCACATTCTGGGAGCACTTGGCAGTGATTGATGTTGAACTTGAGTACCTGTTAGAGTTGAGCAACTTGTCTTTCTAGGTTTTCCTACTCCACTGGGGTCAGAAAAATGCCTTGCCATGGCCAGTCAGGCCTGGGGAAGCTTCTTGCTTTCCAGGAAGGCTAGAGATCATGTGATTTTCCTGTGACATGCGTTTCTGCTGGTCCCTTATAGTTAATGTACACAAAAATGGCACACATTTTCACTTGTATGAAAGTAGAACAATGAAACTTGTTGAGATTGCTTTAAGAAGTGGAAGGAGGGAGGGTGAGGGAGGAGGTGAATGTGAGCAGGGCACATTGTGTGCATGTATGGGGCAATCAAAATGAAGCTCCTTATTCTATAATATACACTAACTAAAATGTCTAAGATGTAAAGTAAAATAAGATATACAGGCATAGAACAGGACTTTCTGAAAAAATGAGAGCAAGAAATGACATTAATCAGAAAGCTTCCACGCACAGATGAGACAATGTACAGAGTGTGCAGACAGCCTACAGTCGGGGGGTGGGGCGGAACTGGGGGTCTTTGCCAGCTACTCACTTGAAAATTTATTTATTTGCTAATATCCAAGATGTGAAGAATTTTTTAATTCAACATCAACACCTCAAAATAATGAATACATTGGCAAATAAATTGGGCAAAGAATTACAAGTTGCCAATAAATACACAAAAAGCCCAGCATCAGGGGATGTGGACAGAAGGGAACCTTACTGCATTGTTGGTGGGAGTGTAAACTTGTTCAACCACTTTGGAAAGCAGTATGGAGGTTCCTCAAAAGACTTCACATAGAACTCCCCTATGACCCAGCAATCCCACTTTTGGGCATTTACCCAAATGTTTACAAACAAGACCACACTAAAGCTACCAGCACAACTATGTTTATTGCAGCATTTTTTACCATAGCTAAGATATGGAACCAACCCAGATGCCCCTCAGTAGATGAATGGATCAAGAAAATGTGGTATATATACACAATGGAATTCTATGCCTCCATCAGAAAGAATGACATTGCCCCATTTGTTAGGAAATGGAAAGGCTTGGAAAAAATTATATTAAGTGAAGTAAGCCAGGCCCAAAGAAACATAGGTCCCATGGTTTCCCTTATTTGCAATATCTAGTATAGGTATGAGTCAAGCAGAAAAGGTCAGATAATGTGATGTTAGGAAAACAAACCCTTAAATATGTATTTTAATGTTTTTTTCCCCTTCATGCATGTGTTTCTAACGCATTTATAAGATTATTTCTTTGTTGCTTTGTATGTCCCTCCCCCACAGTGTAACCCCCGCTTTCACTATATTTGATGTCAGTATAACTTGTGGAGGAGATCGGGACAAACAAGTCGTTTAAGGATTCAGGTGGACCTGTTGCAACAATGAGAAGTACAAAATGTCATGTCAAAAACGATCTTTACAATGTCGGTGTGGGGGGAGGGAAGGGGGGAAGGATTGGGTGGGGGGGAGGGGGGAGGCTGGGAAGGGAGGTGAAGGGTAAACAAAGGAGGAGGCTGCAATGCTTGGTAAGAAATGTATGCATTATCCTGCCCATGTAATTGTAACCCCTCTGTACAGTATGTTCTCAAATAAAATAAAATTAAATTAAAAAAAAAAAAGCCCAGCATCCTTTACTGCAAAGGAAATGTAAATCCAAAGGTTTTCCATCTCATCTCCCATCAGACAGCCATCATCAAGACAACACAGTTTCACCTCCTTTTATGAGTTTGCTTTACTTTCAAGTAAATTTACTCTGCTTACCTTTAAAAAATAAAAGAAGACAACACACAAGAGCAACTACTGGCAAGGGGGTGGGGAAAAGGAGCCGTTACACACTGTTGGTGGAAGTGGAAACTGTCCCAGTGAGTGTGGAATCATTATGGAAGTTTCTGGTAAACTGTGAATGGAACTATATATAGTTCTATAGGTAGCACTGTAAGACCCTGTCATCACACGCATGAAACCAAAGCCAGCATGCCCTAGATAAACCGGCACTCAAGTGTATTGTCACACAATTCACAAAAGCTAGCTGTGCCATCCACCTCTGTGTTCATAAAGAGGAGACTGGATATAGAAAGGGTAGTATCTGCCCGGCCATGAAGAAGAATGAAATATCATTTACGAGAAAATGAATGGAACTGGAGATCATCATGTTAAATGAAATAAGCCAAACTCAGAAAAACAAACATTACCTATTTTTTTCTCATGTGCAACCCAGAATTAAGAGGGAAAAACAAACAAAAACAAGACATGAAAGTCAGGTGCCAAATGGCTCACACCTGTATTCCTAGCTACACAGGATGCTGAGCTCTGAAGACTGAAATTTGAAGCCAGCTTGTAGAGACAAATCTGTGAGAATCTTAAATCTATCAAAAAGCCAGAAGGGCAGCTGTGGTCCAATAGAAAGAGTACTAGCCTTGAGTTAAAAAAAAAGTCAGGGGAGAGCTCAAGGCCCTGAGTTCAAGCCCCAGTCCTGGCAGAAAAACAAAATTGTTACAATGAAATCCATTTGTTTGCACATTTTTTTTTAAAAAACAAAAAGACATCACTTTTTTTTTCCTCCAGCAGTGTCACATACATGATCTCACTTTATGCCTGGAATGCAGATCATCAGGGTCCCTAAGGTCAGGCTGAATTAATTGAGAAGGTTGCATTGCTTTCTTCAAGAAAAGTCTGCAACTGAGCCAGCCACCATTGAGGGATGTCTCATGAATTCTGTTGTCTGGACATTCTGTGGGCCGTGTGTCTTAGGACCCTGGTATTTCAAAGTTAATGTCCACAAAAAGAGACTGCAGTCGTTCTGCTGGTGCAAAGGCTTTGCTTTTAAGTACCCTGGTCTTCCAACTCCCTCCCTATAAGTGAGGGACCCACTTCCTGTCACCCCCTCTTAGGCTCAGCTGTGATGGGGGTGGGCCAATAAACAGAGGAAATCGCGGGGCAAGGCTACTGCTAGACCAGCCCAGGTCCCCGGGTCTTACTACCTCTAACTGTGGCTTCCTTTCCTGAGAAACTCATGTATCTGTAAATAAGTAAATAATATAAACAACAAACCAGAAGAGCCAACCGCTGTGTCACAGATGGCAGGGAAAATGTTCTCAACTGTATCATAAGAGCACATTTTCTCCTTGCTCTGGAAATGGGAGCCCACGAGAAATGGTCCAACACTGGCATCCTGTGGCCGGAGAGCCTCATCAGATCGGGGAAATCCCACATACTGGGGCTCTGGGCACTGCTAACCAGCTGCCTGCCTGTCGGCGTCTTCTCGGATCCGTGTGGTCACTTTCTCATTTCACAGAAATGGCACAGGTAAGCTGTATTTTGATGCAGTGTGATTTCCTGAGAGCTAATCTACCCACCTCTTTGAGGGTAAAGAAATAAAAAGCCTGCTCACGTAAAAGCTAGCAGCGTTTGCCACACAAAACAAAATGCTATTCAATCTCTGAACGGGCCCCTGGTCGCTGTCCCCTGGGGCCAGAGCAGACATCCTGGGAGCAGGGAAGGGTGGTAGTGTAGGAAGCTGGTGCTCTGTGCGTCTGTGTCTGTTTTGTTTGGGCCAAAGGCTAAGAACACACTTGCTATTGTAGCAATAAATATTATGAATTTTCTTCATCATGCTACAAGAATGCTGCCTAAAAGGAAAATCAAACGAAATTATAGAGGATTGTTGCTCTTTTTTGCTTCTCCCTTCCAAGGCGGCCATCAAGAGAGTTACGATGATCACAGTGTAAAGCAGAACGGCTGTGCTCCCTGGCCAGACCAAATGGCACTGGTGAGAACTAAATAACCATTCTGGGAGAGCCCCATTTCTGCTCATTTCACAAATGGCTGCTGTTCAGTGCATGCAGGGGCCTTGAGATTCAAGACAGAAAGATAGAAAAAACAAAAAACCCTCCAAAGTTACATAAGCATGGAAAGACCAGGAGGAATGAAGCATAAAAGTTATTGTTATGAACTGATCAGGACTTGAAACAGAGCACCGCACATCAATGGGAATAGACTCAGATTTAGCTATGAACAGAAAGGGGGAAAACACTTCCTGTGGGAAAGGTCAAGGAGCTGGCTCCATTGTCTGCTCCCCCTTGGAGGCTCTCAGCCTTCCTTCCTCTCCAGGCTCTTGGTTCTCATCATGTTCCGGGCTCTTACGTGTCTCTAGACCTTGGTCTCCATGGTGGGAACTCTTACCTCTCCTAAACCCTAGCAAGGAATCAAGTGATCCCAATTGCAAATGTTGTTGAACAAGACTTCTTTTCCTGTTCTAACCAGGCTCCGCAGTGGGTATCCACAACAGAGAAATCTAACCCAAGGCTTTCTACAGAAAGTATGGTTTAATAAGAAATAGAGATCAAATACATAGTTCAAGGGTCAGTGTGTCTGTGTCAGTCTTTAAGACCCAGCATGCATAGTAACACTTCTTTAGGGTATAGAATGAAAAATCCTGGTGGAAATACTGGAAGAAGGTCTAAAGACACCAAATGCCTATTAAAAGCTAATGAAGAGCAGTAGCAAGATTGCTTTAAATCACTTTGTGTAACACATTTCGAGTGTGTGACACATTCAAAATTATATATATATACATATATATTCAACATATACAGATTTAACACACACATATATAAAGATATAGATTCTCTTTTGGCTAGCATTCTTACTATTTGTTAATAATTTCACTAGCAATCTTCCTAAGACATGCTATTTCTTTTGCACTACTGGGGTTTGAACTCAGGACCTTATGTTTGCTAGACAATCACCCTACCATATGAATTGTGTCTCTTGAGTCCTCTCCCTGAACACTTTACTGGGATTAAGTACATTAAAATATAAACCAAAGAGAAAGTTGTATTCTAAGTGCACCAGACTCGCCAGGCTGCGCCTCTCTGTGCATCCGTCTACCGTTGATAGACTTAAGTTCCATTGCTCCATTTTCACCAGCACCCAAGCAAGAAAACCCACCCCACCAGACAGCTTCCAGTTCACAGCTAAATGGCTGCTGGAAGGAGGAGGTGGGCTGCTGGGGGAAGGGCCCTGGAGGCTGAGTCCTGTGCCCTAGCCTTCACAGGGGTATGCCTTGTACCCATCTCTCTCTCCCCCTTCTCCCTCTCCCCCCTTCTCCCTCTCCCCTGCTCTCCCCCTCCCTCTTCCCCCCTCTCTCCCCCTCCCTCTTCCCCCTTCTCCTCCACCCCCCTCCACCTTCCCCCTCCCCTCCTCTCTCTGCTTCCTGGCTGCAGCTTTGCTCTGTCACGTGCTCCATGGGTCAACAGAAATCCTGCCAGCTGACCACAAGCCACTGGAAGCCCTTTCCCCTCCCAAGTCGTTCTTACCAGACATTTTGTCATAGCAGGAAAAAGAACCATGCCAGACGTTGCACCCTGGCAGGCGTGCGCTCAAATCTTAACTCTATGGTTATTTTTTTTTTAATCGATACATTCAAACCTAAACTCTGCCTCCACGCTGGGCCTGGCTGCTCTGGCTGGGACGGAACTCCCCACCTGGATTTGCTCTGAGCAAGGACCGAGCCCATGGCACAGAGGCCCAGGAGCACCTCACACCCCGAGTGCTTTCTGCAGAGGGGCCTCAGACGCCGTCTCTAGTCCCGTCTCTAGCCATGCTGAGCCGCTGAGCGCCCCCTCCAGCCCAGCTGTCTCCCGGCCCAGTGGGGTCCACGTCCTCTCGGACGCGGCTGCTCGGACGCGGCTGCCCGTCCGCCTCAGTTCTCACCAGTCCTGCAGCAGAACCCAGCACTCTCCACCCCTGGTGACTTCTCCCAGCCATCCTCACAGGGCCCAGAGAGGCCTGCCTGAAACACCAAACCCACCTGCGTTCCAACTCTGACTGCTCAAATCCATGCAAGCGGGAAGGACAGACACCCATCCTCCCGGGTCTGAGCCAGGACGGCATGCCTTCACCTCGGGAAGCTCTCGGAAGGCCTCAGTAAGGGCGTGCGTGTAGAAATCTCACCATAAACTGGGCTATGCCTCCTCTCTTGGTGGCTTTGGCTGCTATACAGTGAGCCTCTGTGACTCACGACACCTTTCAGAGTAACATTAGAACCCTGACAGTTCAGACGGTTTCAGCTCCCACGCAAGTCCCCACCCAATCTCCCTCGCTCTCCTCAAAGTTATTGTGATGATAGGGAATCGCTAAATCACATTCTACTTCCATGAAAAGTAATTAGGTTCCTATGGGGTTGGGAAGAGCAATCACATGGTTTATAGAACTGCTGATAAAACTCTAAACACAAAAAGCTCTCCTCCTAGCAAGTGAATAGAGCCATGAAAGCCAACACCCTGGAAGAGCAGCTGCCCCCAAAGTCCTTCACTTGCTGGCCTCTCGGGCCTCCTGAGGAGGGGGAATGCCCCGCCCTGCACAGCCATGCGAACTCTCCACCCCACCACGCCTCACCAGGCCCCAAAGGCTGAGCATCCTTACCTGAGGCTCTTCTAAACCACCCGGGCTTCTTGTCCCATATAATAAAGAGATAGTAGGCAGGCACCCCGGTGAGCGTGATCACACAGCCGATGCCCGTGCTGAACGGGTCGGAATAAAGGGAGAGGACCACCATGAAGAGGCAGGTGAAGGAGAACAGAGCTGGGATAAACAGCGGCACCTGGAACACAGCACAGAGAAAAGGCATCAGTACCACCATGGACGTGGGCCGCCGTGAGCACAAGGTGTGTGACATGCATTCGTCACGCGACCAGACACCAGCCACCTGAGCCTCCAAGTCCCTGGTATGGGGCCCAGAGAGCCCATGAGACATACTTCCTTTAATTGCATTTTTACTTATGCTTCGATCTTTTCTCAAGGCTAGAAAAGAGTATTTCCTTGGAGCCGATCTCTTGGAATTGTTTGACCAGTGAAGTACCATTATCATTTGTGGTTTTGATTTTAAAAGATTGGTTTTTTGATAATGATGATTAGAATCCTCTCCGACGTGAAGTCGAGAGCGCCGGCAGCTCGCTCCACGACGAGGCCTTTCAGCGCGCATTGATTTTCTGTTGAGCTTCACAATGACAACTGACAGGGGCAAAGCAGCCAACTCCTATTCAACCACTAATAAAGATGCTGCGAGCATCAGGCAATGCATATAATTAGCAGCAACCTCTGACAGCGTGGCTGACGACATTATCTTTGCTATTTCTTAAAAGCGAGGAAACAGTAAGGTCAAATCCATCCGTGAACTGCCAAGGCCCCGGGAGGTGGCACGCACACCCTTCAGCCCACCCCGGAGGGAAGGCTGGTTCTGGGAAAGTCTTTTCTCTACGAAGCGACCAGCTCTCTCTCCTTGCTCGTATTCCCTTTCTTTCCCTTTTAGACACAGGCCCATGGGCCAGTCACCATGTACAAGTGCTTGAAGCTCCTATTTGGGAGTGCAGCATCTGTTTTAGAATTTTAATAAAATACCTGCCTCTCTGTGGCAGGGCTGGCCACCAATCTTCCACATGAAGATGGATAGAAGTTTTCCGCCCTTTAAACATGAGATCATTGGGCCCATTCATGAAAAATCAGCCTAACCATCGCCCATTAAGACTACATCTTCTCAAACACATGACATACAATGTTCAGTCCATCATATTAAAAAAAAAATACCAGACACCATGATTTCCCAAGTTAAAATAAATCCAATACAAAGGCACTTCCTGCAATAGTTCAGCATTCTACCACAGCGCGGTCCCCTGCTCAGCCGCCCATCATCGAGAGATGACAGAGGGAAGACTGCGCGTTAGAGAGAGATTTATGTAAGCCATCCACACGGCTGAGGTTACCTTGAAAGGACGATGCATATCTGGGCGTTTGTATCGAAGATAAATCAACCCAGCAACTGCCAGCCCAATAAAAAGCCACCTGGCAAAACTGAGGAAATTCAAAAGACTGTAGAGGTCTCCAGAAAACAGCATTATTATTGTCAAAGGATGCTAGGGAGAAAAAAAGAGAGAAAATCGAAGTTTGATGACTTTAAAGATGACAAACAACTACACATTTATTATTATTATAACTGTTGTGGTTGTGCTAAATGTTATTTGAACTGCTAAAATGACATCATGATCAAAACTCAACATCAACAAGTTTCAACATTCTGTTCTTATAGTCTCTTTACACACGTCACAAGAGCAGAGAGCCATCATGTGACAACCCTTTATCCAAGAGGAATTCTCCATGAAGGTATTATTTTGTTAGTGTTTGGTGTTATTTTGTGGCGACTTCCTTTTGCATTCAAGAGAAGAGGATGTGCTTTCAAAAAATGGAAGACAGGACACTCACTCCAAAGTTAAAGACCCAGAGATCTGAGGTAGTTCGCAAATAACCAATAATAAATATGGAGATGCATGCCCAATGGCAAGACTCAGAGCAAACTCTGTAAAGATTTTCTGATGAGCTCCTAGCCACCCAGACACAGGAAACACAGATTCAGGGTGAGTCCTAAATCTGTTGCTTTTGCAGAACAAAGTGCTGCCCTTTGCTTCTTCCACATTTACTGCACCCGCTGCTAGGCACATGTGACCCTCAGGCTCAGAGGAGAGCAGAGCAGGTCAGTGCCAAGGACAAATGACTGACAGCTGGTTTCAAAGGAAAGCTTTTGTCACGGAACAGCACAGCATACTCTGTTCCCACATTGACGTCAGCCCCCAGATTCCACACAGAGAGCATGTGAACCTCAAAACAAAAAACAAACCTTCTTTCCAAGGAAACATTCTGAAACAAATTAAATGCATAGGGGAAGAAAATGTTCATCGCATTTCTATGGTGCTCCTGTCGACAGATTCCAGTGGAGAAGAATGCTACCAAACTCACAGGTAAAAATGGCTATAGCATCGCCAATGGGTACTTTTATACTTTTTATAGTCTTTTGTAGCCTACATTTTTATAGTCTTTTGTAACACTATGCCCTGCATAGAGAATTCTACAACCTCAATTTGTGTTTCAGGGCTTGTCTTTCTCTCCTGTAAATTTGCTCTTAATTATCTTAGTTTTAATCAAAGAATCATTGGACTCTTCAGTTATTTAGGATATCATTTATCCTTGGAATCATTTTCTGTGCGTTTCATTATAAAGGAACTGTGGTTGGGTGCTGATGGCTGATATCTGTCATCCTAACTACTCAGGAGGCTGAGAACTGAGGACAGTGGCTCAAAGCCAAAGTAAAAAAAAAGTCTGCGGGACTCTTCACTGAACCAGCAAAACGCCAAAGTAGAAATGAGACTCCGACAGAGCACCAGCTTTGAACACAAAGCCAAGCAAGAGCATAAGGCTCTAAATTTAAGCCCTAGTCCCAGCACCAAAAACCACACACACACAATAATAATAATAATAATAATAATAATAATAATAAAATAATTAAAAGCTATTCATCGGCATTTGAGTGTTTGGGGACAGTGGCTTTGAGCTGTACTTTCAGTATGAAGTGGGAACATTTTACACATTTTACAATCTTTCCTTAGGGATTTCTGAAAATGAGAGGGGCTACACGGTTCTCCTGAGACCTTGCAAATTCCCACAGGGGTGAAGGGAGGTGATATCATCTCTTTCCCTCAAGTATCAACTCCACATCAGAAACCCTGCCTGGGGGACCGGACGGGACGCAGCTGGCACGCGGGGCCAGGCCGCAGGGAACAAGAAGGCCCGGACTCTGCTGCAGGCCTCTGGCTCACGCAGGTTTCCAGAGGTCACCCCCTTTACGTGCATTACCAGGACGATCACGGCTGGCAGAGGCGTGTGCTTCCGGATGTGAATCATGGAGAGGATCTCAGGAAGGTGACCCTCTCGCGACGCCACATAGAACAGCCTGGTGGGAGAGACACAGAGGTGGCGTGGAGGGTGACATTTCACAGGGAAAACCCGGAGTTCCCAGAGGAAAATGTGCATCGTTTTCACTTCAAACAGCTTGGCACTTCTGAGCTGATTAATTGGGTTGCATTTTCCAGATGCAGTAGAGAACATTACACAGAAGGCTGCCTTCGAGATAGACAAAAATCCGAGAACATCTTTTCTCTTGAAGAGAAACATCAGGGTTTAAGTAAGCACAGCGCTTCTTACACGTGAATAGCTGGTGGTGAATTTATTTCTGGACCTTAAAGTATTGCTAATCCAGTCCAACATGGACACACACACACACACACACACACACACACACACACACACACACACACACACACACATGCCCAACATTCATTAACTATCTGATTAAAACAAAACTATCTGATTGAAACAAAAAAGACTCTTGCATCATACAAAAGCAACATGGGATGGTATTCTCTTACTTCACTCTGGTAAAATAAAAGATCTTATTGCCGGAAATAAAATGCTGGTGTTAGACTGTAGACAGGCTATTTTTCTTTAAGGCCATGTCCTCAGTGTAGGCTATGTATAGACAGGCAGCACCCTCTCCTGGTCAGAATCCAACATGCACCCACCGAAACCTGCATGTCCCTTTAAAAACAACAGGTGTGAGGCTGGGTTGCTTTGCTTTTTAAAGTTATCCTTATCACATCCAATCTCAAACACTGAAATGTGTTTCTGGAAATAGGTGAACTCGCTCACCTGGAGACAGCAAACACACCGCCGTTCATGGAACCGAAGCAGGAGAGGGCAACAAAGATGGGAACTGCTAATGAGAAATTCCCCAGCAACCGCTCCGAAAAGGTCTAGGGAAAGAAAAGACCAGGTGAATTCATGCCTTTCCCAAAAATGAATATATATATGCATACATATGAAACCATTTTAGCTAAACTTGCTGCATGACTTTCTATCAGGCTGGCCAAACGTGTGTGTTTTAGAATCCTTCTTTGTGGTTAGGGTCAGCCTCCATCCACAGCATAAGAGGAAGCAGCACCAGCGCAGATGCTGGGCTAAGGTCTCTGCAAGGCTCCCCCCGCCCCCCCCCCCGGCCTGGACCCCTCCTGAATGTGCGGCCGCTGTGCTGTGTGTCCTCACTGACTCTGATCATAGAAAAAAGCTCCCTTCAAGAAGGTTCTCCTGTAGGAGGCAGAAATTCTTCTAGACAAAACTGTCTCTTCCGTTTGGAAAGCCACATTTTTTTAGAGCAAAGCCAGGCTTTCCACTGAGACGTATTATTTAATCACCAATACAGCTGCTGGACGGCAACTAAAACACCCAGATGACTTGATTATTTATATCATATAAAGAAAAAAACAAAAGGGTTTCCCCACCCCCTCAGAAAAATTACACTGGCTAACCTACTGTGTAGGGAATCACTTGCCAGCCCTGCCCCTGGGGGCTTCCTTCCCTGATTTTCAGTAACAAAAAGTCAGAAACATAAATGCAGACTCAGCCAGCCACAAAAGGAAGCAAGAACAAAATACTAACATTTCCTAATATGCCATGCATGACACTGAATAGTTCCCATAAAGGATTCATTTCCCACTCCCCTCAAAAATATAGGGGAATTTTTTTATTGCCCGTGGTGCAGTTGGTGCTCTGCAGACAGCGGGCCCCATTGTGCCCCCAAAGTCAGTCCTGCCCCTTGACAAGGGAGAGGAGAAGCCGGGGTGATCTCCGGCCTCCTGCCTGTCTGAGAGGAGGGACGGGGATGGATCACTGTCTTTTTCAGTGCAGTGAATTCAGACCCAGGTTCATACAAAATGACCTAATTTACTCCCTGTGGATGCTGCCGATAGGAGCAAACACTGTTGTCAAAGGAACTGGCACTCGCTAATGGGGAGATCACTAAATTTTTAATTCTTCACACTCTCGTTGTTGGGAGTTGAGGAGTGCATCTTCTCTCCTAAGCTAAATTCCACAGCAACATAAAAGTCTGTGTCAGAAGAAATAATCCTCTCTCACACGACCTCCGGGGACCAAGATGGCCCTAGGGTCACCTAAATTTTGAGAAATGTTGGAGGAATGAGGTGAATCCGCTTCTTAGGGAGGTAGAAATGTACATTTACATTTTTAATATTCTGAGAAGCATTCCAGCAGCAACATATGTCTCACTTTTAATTACCTAGTATTTCCCAGATTTATTACTATCCCAAGGCGAGAATTCCAAGGATATATTAGGAAAAAAATGTATAATCATATTTAACCTGAAAGTTCTTATAGGATACTTTGGAGAAGGATTGTAACTCAGCATTAGAAAGGTCTGCAAGGCAGGAAGACTACTGAGTGAACTAAAATTTGCATTCCAAAACAACTATGTTCATTTCCACGCAGTAACTATCCGCCTGTCTTCCAGACATGTTGGGAATGAACCAGCAGCGCCTTCAACTCTCCAGCCCTGATGGATGCTCCAAGCAGGGGGAAGAGAGAAGGGTTTACAGAAAACTTCAAGAGAAACCACACAGCATTTTAGCCACGTCGGTTCCATGGAATATGCAAAGGGGTGCTCTAGAGGTGTTTTTATTTAAATATTCATTATCATTCGGTTCAAGAAAAGATTACTGAATTTCAAAACACTTTCTCCTGAAGGAAACTACCAGGAATCACTAAGCTAAATTCAGTTGCGTGCTGTTGTGCTGTTTCCGACGGGGCCTTACCACGGCCACGGCCTTGGAGAGCAGCAGGTCCTCGGGGCTGAGCGTGGTGAAGTAGGCCACGTTGGTGAGCACGTAGCCCACGGTGACAATGCCCATGGAGATGCAGATGGCCAGGGGGATGGTTCTGAAAGGCACAGCGGAACCGAGTGTGAGTTGCCTGTGGCTGGGCAGCCCGGGTTCCGGGACACAGCTCCCGCTCATCCACGTGAGGACTGCAGGCCCAGCCACGCCTCTGTCACACAGGAGGGGGGCCCTCGGTCAGTCCCGGCCCCTGCTGCGCCCCACGCCCGGCCAAGCGTCCTCCTCCTGGCGTTCCAGGGAAGGCAGCAGCCGTGTTTCCAACATACGAAGACAGGTAGGATAAGCAGCAAGAAGCGAGATCCGTCCACGAGGCACCCCACGAGGCCTCGGCCACCCTGCTCAGACGCAGCAGCACAGGTCAGGCCACCAGGGGACCCGATGGTGCCGACACCGGTGACTTGGAGAGGGACTCACGCCCAGGCCGTGAGATGTCTACTTCTACTGCACCGAGAAAGCCAGGGAGCTACGCACCCTAACCGTGCAATCCCATGTCACCCGCACGCTCGCGACTCATCCTTGCCTCTGGTGACTCGGCTCTGTTCAGGCAGCTCAACCCTTCCACCCCCTGCACACGGCTGCTCACTTCTCAGCCGGCCCGGGCAGGAAGGAGCAAGAGGGCAAAGGCTCAGTCTCCTCGCATGCAAGCGGGGCGTGTCTGACACACTATGTGGAACAGCACTATCCCCAGCTAAGAACACACACACCAGCCAGTCAGCCATGGCATTCATTAATCCAACAAGTCATACATGCTGCTCTGAGCCTGATGCTTTCCCTCAACCCCAAGGTCTCTAGCCTTGACGGGGAAGCGCCGTGACCTCTAAATCCTGGCCCTGGCCTCCAAACACAGCAGGAGCAGCTGTTCCCTGCTTCTCCAATAAGAAGGGGGTCCTGGGGAATTTCCTGCTAACCCCGTGACAGGCTGCGCTAGCGATGATTGACAGGTACCTGGGAAACGCGGGGGGGGGGGGGGGGGGGGGGGATGGACATGCGCAGTGCGCATAGGGGATGACTTCTGTTCTTCTGGGGGAAAGAACCCAAGTGGATCCAAGTGAATGCAGACAGGGTTAGAAGGCAAAGCTGAAGGACAGGGTGCACACACAGCACAGCCCCCACTGCGTTATTTTCAACTTGGATTCTTTAGGCTTTGATGATGTTCCCAATGGGGAATAAGAGGTTCTGTAGAGAAGACAGACAAGACGGGGAGAAGAGAGGAAAGTTTCTGGTCCCTGCAGGCATATGATCAGGTCATTACTAAAAAGCTCAGATCCATTGCTACATGCAGTGAGGTGATCTAACATATCCAGAATGCTGAGCAACAGAAGGAGAAATACTTCTGCAACCTGGGACTGTCCCCTCCCTACCCCCCAAGGTAGCACTGAGCCTTGAGGGCTCTCTGCCTGGTCCCCACCTACACGCTTCGGCCTCCCTGAGGGTGGTTTTCTGAACTAGATGCTAGAAAAATCCAGCCTCCGGATTGGCTTCCTTTCTTCCTTAGGTTGTCAATAACCAAAACACAGTGTGCCCCTGTCACCAGCTGCCCTCCAACTGACATTCCATTAGACACATTACCTTCTGTTGAGGAAGAAATGGAGGTAGTGAGAGATTACATAACGGTTCAGATATACAACTGGCACGCAGAAAGCCAGAATTCAGCAGTTACAATGCTCAGTGCATATCCTAGGAGATAGGAAAACTAAGGGGAGGGGTTGAGTTGGGAGGGGTAGGGAGGAGTGGGGATAGGGTGACATGGATCAAGAAGCAATGTATTCATAAACTGACTTGTTGAATGGTAACGCCTTCATGCCAGTACTTGGATATAATAAAGATAACATGTAGATTCTACTTTCAAAGTGGTTCACTTCTACCAGCCAAGCTCCGTCTCTCTCCTGTGAGGTAGCGTCTACGCTCTTCATTTCCAGGAAAATTATAGTTATTGGCTATAAAATATATTGGAAAGCTCTTGGCAACATTGTTTCTCGTGGATTTATAATTTTCTTACTGTGAAAAAGGACTTAAAGCTAAGATTTTTATCGTGTTTCTGTAAAATATGAATTGTTAATGACAAGACGATATTTTCAAAATAGGTTCTTGTTCCTGAAAAGGAAATAAGTCCACAGGACAAATTTTCCCAGGCAAGTTTTTATAGAAGAGACAGAAATATAAGCACGCTGGTCCAAAAGCTGGAATGCATTAAGAGTTAACCACATAAGATAAGACATTGAGAGTGACAGTCGCAGATCAGAGAGCACAAGCTGAGGTCTGAATGTGGTGCTGTGCAGGAGCTAGCTAGGGTTCCCCTCTGAGTACACACAGAGCAAGTGCAGCCACGTGAGCAGGGGAGGGCGAGGGCGTGGCGCCAAAGGCCTGGCACTGGTCCTCGTGTTCCATTTCACACCGAGGAAAGGGCGGACATGGGGAAGTTCTCAGGCGGCCTTGGCATAAACAGCCTCACTTACAGAAGAGGGTTGCTGACTTGTTCAGGGAAGGCACCACCCAGTGAACTAACTCCCCGTGGCAATCACAGAGCCTTGGAGACGCCCACAGAGCTGATAGAAGCTATTAGGTGGTACGGGAGCCAGCCTGCTGGGGACTGTAGATTCAGCAAGCAGAAAAGCACCCAGGCTAACTCATGACGAAAGCAAATGGCAGGGAATCAATCAAGGAATCAATCAAAACCTCTGAGTTACTGCGTGGTCATTATGCTGAAGGAAACTAGCCACGCCCGTGAGTTCCACACTTTCTGACACGCTTGAACACGTTGGCTGGGATAAACAAAACACGAGGGTCTGGAGAGAAGTGACTCCAGCTATCAGAGCTATACATCGTTACATACATTCTTCCGATGAGCAGGGGGTAAGCGTACGAGTGTGATATTTTTATTAACTGCAAACTCTCCTCCATCCAGTTCTGGTTGTTTTGCTCACAGGCTGGTTTTGAACAGTCATCTGTAACTAGGCATCTGTGCGATGCAGGGATGCACAACTGTGTGTGTGAGACTGTTCCTGAAAGTTCCTGAACTATCTCCACAGAAGCACTTCCATTCTGAAGGCAACACCTTCCAGAATGGCTTCTCTAGCGACGGGCACTGGCTTTTCTTTATAAAATCTACAAAGCACTGAAAATACATTTCAGCTGCAAATACATGGCCCCATGTCAAGTCTTTGTAGAAGGAAAGTGAGCATGAACGAATATCAAACAAAATGGCCCCTGGAAATAGCAGGTGAGAAACACAATGGAACAGTTCTCACAGAGGCTTACTGATATAACCAGTCACAAAAGAAGTAAGGGAAAAATGCTGAAACCTGAACCCAGAACCTTCCATGAGATTCGGGCTTATCCAGCCTACTTTTATAATCCGTCATTATACAGCCTGCAGGGTCTCCAGGGACGCTGACAAAAATGCATCTCATTTCATTCAAATGACTCAATATCAGACCACTAACATGTTTCAAGCCAACTATATTTTTTATGTACCCAGCGGTCACAAAATAGTATAGGATGTAATTTTTCAATGTACTTTGCACATCTACGCGAGTGTTTTGGAAAGGCCTGTGTTCACTGCTGGTGTCAGCAGAAGTGACTATCGCTGTCACACAGAATGTGTACGCCCAGCTTGATTCTCCAGATGGTCAAGAAGACTTGAGACTTAGAGGAATTTGGGATATTCCGGAATACACCAATCACTTAAAGTCTGGGGTATTCCGGCTTTGTTTTGTGACCTGTACAAAATCTCCATGCAATCCCTTTATCAGATACACCTAAGGGCCGCTGACCCCTGAGCATCTCCAGTCATCATCCTGCCCTGTAACTGGCGTGATGGCAAAAGTTCTGTGAGAACCTACTCTTACACTTTCTGGAAGCTTCTAAGAGAAGGAGCTGATGCTTTGCTTTTCTACTACAAAAAGAAAAAAGGTATTAGCATTTAAACATGTGTTCAGTGCTAGAGGAAAAAGAAAAGATGCAAAAAGGAAGGATTAAGAAAGGCAGAAAATAACATTTACAAGGTGAGATGCAACTAAAAAAAATGAAAATAAGGGATTTCATTTTAAGGATTTTAAGAACATTCTCTTGACACATTGGGGACAATTTGCTTATGTAAAATTGAAATGCAACTGTGATTCATCTCCACATAAAGTATTAATTGCTATATTAAGTAACTTTTGATTCTAAGTATTTATCTCACATTCCATCAGTGTTTCAGATTTTCTTCATAGTGCCTCTGGAGAGACCTTGAAAGTTTTTCTGTAGCTCTAACCTAGAAATAATTCTAACATCTTTTACTTCTCTCCTTTTCTTTTTCAATTCACAAATTTACTTTCTGTTGCATTACTGTGTGCTTTATCACCACAGCCTTCGCTACAGCCTAAAACAATAAATGAAGAGATGTCAAAGAAAATCTATCTGTAATTTTCATTCACGTCATTTTTTTTCCTTCCAGACAGTTTTGCTTACTTTTCCTAACTCTTGCTCATAATAACTCCCCAGCGACCTCTGGGTAGAAACCTGCCCAGTCTGGTAATTACCTCAGCAACAGCATTCCCAGTATTTGAAATGTTAAACTAAAGATGACCGGAGTCCAATTTCTTTGTTTGTTGTTTTCAGTGTTTTTGTTTTTCTCATTGCCATTTAGGGTGACATGTAAATCTCTTGATTTCTATTCTGAGTGGGAAACTGTCCATTCAAAGTAGAGACACCCTTGAATACACGTAGCCAGTGATTAAAGAGAAGATGTAGATTGTCACTGAAAGAAAAACAATAGCAGCAGGAGGAAGAAGCCACTCAGTAAACCTGCTTTTGAATAGGTCCTTTTCACAAAGGTCCATGGTTCCAATTCTTATTCCTTAACCATCTTGGGCCAAGAGCAAAGATACACATTGTCACATGAGACACGGTGGCCCATGGTAAGGACATTGGTGGCTTGCCTGGGATATTGCACTCTTCAATATCTCCGATTCTTATTCTAAATCTCACCATTACTCCATTGTCCACAGGTGAAATCCACAAACAGAAAGAGAAGACAGAGACCTGCAAGGAGATGTAAGA